TCCAGACATGTCTCGGATACGGATCCAGAACTGAATTCTTTAAAACAAAATGGCCGCCAGTCGGCCATTTCAAACTTGATCCGAAAAAAAAAATGACGTGCATCAAGGTCCTATTATGTTTAATGTATGTACCAAATTTGAACGAAATCTGTCCATGCATAACTGAGATCCAGGTCCGGAATGATTTTGATGCATTTTCGGCCTTAAAATGGCCGCTATTCGGCTATCGTTAATCGGATCATGAAAAAAATGCATGTGCATATGTCCCATATAACGTGTGATGTACGAGTGAAGTTTGAACATAATCGGTCCATGCATGTTCGAGATACAGGTGATCACGGACGGACACAGGGCAAAACACAAGTCCCCGTTTTCGGACTCCGTCCGAACGGGGACTAATGAGTACCTCCCATCAGATATTCTGATTTGGTTGGAATAGGAATACATGTACTGAAAGCAAATGAAGTAAAATACTGTAGTTTGTATTGTCCTGGTATAATTCTTTAATCACGCGTAAACGCCACACATCCTTGTACATTAAAGAAACACTTGAAACAATCTTGGAAGTTCAAAAAACACAATTTCTTAGTTTATTCAGTTAAGGCAGATGAAGTTGAAATTTAACATGCTTACTGTTGCATATAGATATTGGACAGTAGCACAGTGAAACCAAACACCAATTTACCAAGGATAATTCTGGCCCCTTTCAGATCGACTTGGTAAAAGGCAAGAAAAACTTCATTGTGCCCAACTCTGAAGAGCATCCCCCCCCCCCCCTCCAAGTTCACCTGAAGGATACCAGACTTATGAAAATTGTCTAATGAAGTTAAGAAGAAAAGACAGGTTTTACTGTGTTCAAATTGAAAACACTTAGGTTGGGGGGGAGACCATTTCAGCTGAAACTAGAACCAGGACATAAGACTGGCTCTGAACATTGTAGTACCGGTAACCAGGGAAAGAGGATTGTCTGCCTGAAACTTCAAAGCTAATCCGGCCCAAGCAAAAATACTGGTCACACAACCAAAACATTGATGCATGCCTTGGAAGCAGGTGGCATTATTAAAAATTGAAATGACTAGATGGGCTAGAGTCTGGGGGGAATGAGTTATAGTATACCCCGGTACACCATATTTAAAGTTCACAAAATATCCGGAACAGCTGATTCTATCAGGATATTTGTAGTGAAGTAAAAATCAAATACAGATTAAATGTTATGTTACCAGTGGAAAATTACTATTCCAAAAGACTTTTTTTACAAGCCATTATTTCGTTGAACATTTGCACAAGTTTTTTTTTTACTTAACCAGATGAAGACTAGCAGATTAGTCATTCTTCCCACATATATCATTCATTAACCAGTAAGAAGAGTTTAGAATAACAAAAAAAAGCTCCAAATAATGCAATTGCACAGATGACAATGTACTTTTTGATACAGTGGCATACTGATTACAACTAGTTTTGTTATTTAAGATCATATATTGTTGAGAAATACATTCTGTGCTTGAATTCATACTAAAAAAATATTACACTAGTAAAATTTATTGAAATCTAACCATTTTTTGTCTATTTTTTTGTGCATATTTTATACAAAAAGGCAACTAATTGTTATCACACTATCACTGACCCAATCAAACTTAATACATTCCAACAGTTTTCAGCCTTCCGATATACAAGGACAATTCACATACCCTAGAGTCACTGTTCTTTCAGAATTAAACAGATTGCAAACTAAAATTTATCCAACAAGTAACAAAGGTTTTCCCAGGGGGTAGTTTTGTCAACTGCATTCTTATTTGTAAAAAGTGCTGATATTGTATCACAAGTCCCTGCACTGTAATTGCATATAGTGTACAGCGCCCTCTATGGCAATTATTTGAAAGGCATGACAATGAAATTACCTCAATATTAATGTGAATGTTAAAAAACCCATTTCCCCTGAAGAAATCTATTTGTCACGATGTGGATGTATGTGGTCATACAAATACATTATTAGTATTGATACAAAATTTATTTAATATACTGTGCTAACCAGCGAAAACCCTCCCCATACCCTTGCCTCTTCAAAACACTGCACATAAATAATTCCAGTGGGCGGCCTGGTAAATCTTTCAATGGCACATTTCCCTAGGAAAAAAACAACAAGAAGTGTGTTACATAGAGTACTGTAAAATACTTATTTTCTCATATATGGTGCATTTTTTTTTTATAAACCAGTGTCAGGATTTCCTTTGTTCTCTTAAATTTGTGAATAGATCTCACTGTTTTTATGGATTGTGGTTTTCACACAACATTTTGTTCTGCAAAAACTAATGTTTCCATTGATCTACACCATAATGCTATAATCACTGTAATAATGCCAAGAGCATTACAATGCAATCGAATTTTCAGTGCCCAAAATACCCAAATGTAAAAAAATCGATTAATTAAACAATGTATGATCAATGTATGTTATTGTTTTAAACTTGTGCCAGATAAGACTGACACCTGTAAACAAAGCAATTTAAGTATCACAGGGCAGAAGGCAAGCATTACATGGTCATGATATTTCAGTGGCATTGGGAAAACACTGTTATTTATTGTAATCATTGTGTATGCGTGTTATCCCTGTTCACTTTATAGCGCGACTGTCAATTCTAAACAACGAAAGATGATCAACATATATCATATTGCTTTTGTATCTACTTTAAAAAAAAATTGGTCAAAGAATGTCAAATAAATGGTTTTAGGACACAAGAAAGTAACACCAGCATGGCGCGAGGACCGGCCGATGACATGTTCAAATGATTTTATGGGTGTCAGTCAAAAGTTATTCAAATTAAAACAAATCAAAGTGCATATATATATCCCATTGTGACTGAACACAACCGGTCTGGCATGTCTGTGAAATTACACTGGGCAGATGTAGTGATGAACTGAGCAGATCTCAAAACAGAAGTCCTCGTTTTGGACTGAAAAAAAAGTAATAATGAGATGGTAAACCTCATATACAAAATTCTGCAAAAGTTGTAAGCCAGTCTAATAAATTAAACAAGGTCATGTGACCCAGTGTTCAGGCCATTCATGCATTGTCTCTATACAGATTGTAAACAGCTATCATAATCGTTTTCATGTAGAATGTAAATTGATCACAACTCAGCAAAGGTGCAAGGTTGAAGTTAATGTGGAGTTGATTACAGCTGTTCTGAGAATTATGTTAACTGACTGTCCGAATAATTCTCAGAACAGCTGTAACTGTATATTGAAAAAGTCAACCAAAAGTTGTGTACGAGGACACAACTTCACCACTAGAGGTAGATCCTCTACACCTGAGCTTTTTGGGCAGTCGGTTCATCAATGCATATTTAATCAAAATATATGCCTTCAATGTTTATAGCATACATGTAGGTCTGAACTATCAATGAGTGAATGACATAGCAATTTGTGTTTATACACAGTGACTGCATATGAATTCAGGGCAGTAAAAATTGATCTACAGTATTTATATAAACACAAGTGACAGATGTTCTCTATTCTAATTCAGACACCATTCATAACATAGTAACAGTTAAGCATGATAGTATTGTATCATGTCAGAGAACTCAGTTTAAATATACAAAAATATTAGATTTTATGGAGAGAAAAAAACAACAAACAAAGAAACTTGCTCAGCCCAAAGACCTGTGGAGTCAGGTCTATCTGTCTATTAAACTAAATCAGTCAATGCATGTCCAAGATACAATAAATTACATCTTTCATCACATCTTGCGAAACAAATAACCAATTTTAAGCAAAAAGCATGATAACAAATTAATATGAATAAAAACTATTTCAGCAAAGGGATTTGAATGATACATAATAATTAAGTGTCTACCTTTCCTGTTGTTTGTCCATGAAGTCCAAATGCTGTTCTAAGTTCATCTTCGCTAGCAGCCCCTGGTTTATCTATTTTGTTGCCGAGGGCAAGAATTGGTGCATTGGCTACTTGTTCATCTGTCATTAAACTCTGCAACAACAGAAAGCAAAACAACTATCAATAAATACCACTAGAATTTCACATTTTTTTCCTATCAACCTGAAGTTAGTTTTGTTGAATATCACTGAGCTATTTTGGATGATCATTGGATTCAATGATCGATGAGCACATGCTAATAACATTTCATGGGTGTGATAAAATAAAATGTATAAAAGACATTTTCTGTATTGTTTTTATGCCACAATCCATATTTACTGTAAAATGACTAATTTTCACTGGGTTTAAATTTCACTGATTTAAAGCATTTCAGGCATATTCAGTGGGTTTTAAAATTCACGGTTTTATCATTTAGATAATGTGTTCTATGCTTAATTTTACATATTAACTGGGTTTTAATTTAGCACATTTTCCAGTCCACGAAATAAGCAAAATTAAAACCAAGTGAATAATTAACCCTTTTACAGTAGCTTTGAGCTGCTTTTCATCACTCAAGATATGCTAGCAACTGGCTTAGCAAAAAGTTATCTCTATAATACATGTCGCTGAAATACATGGTTACAGGAATAGGTCACCTTTTAATAACCATCAGCCACAAGCCTTCTGCCAGGTAGTACTGTAAAATCTGTATTAGAAGCCGAATCCCTAATAGAAGTCGCACCCATTCTTTTTGAACAATTGAGAACCCAAAATTCACCATTTCTCATATGTGTAGATGCTCTAATAGAAGCCTCATCCCTTCTGTTGCATTGTACCATTTTGATAGAAGTCGCTGCGTCTAATACAGATTTTAAAGTATATGCTTTTAGCAATTCACAGTCATGAATGATTACTGAAGTCAGTAATTACTCACATCAAGTTCTTCCTTTGCTTCTACAAATCTTTCCCTATCTGCAGCGTCAATAAGAAAGACAATTCCTTCAATTGCTGGAAGGTAATCTTTCCAAACACGTCTTGCTTGTTGATGGCCACCAAGATCAAATGTTGTGAATCTCATACCACCCATAACTAATTCTTCTGAGGCTATTGGGAGAAAAATACAAAACCAAATTATTGAATACAAACATAAAAACACATAAAAAATTAATTCAAAATTACTGGTACAAGAGATATTGATAGAAAAGCTGAAAACTAATTATGTAAATCAGGTAACTAATATGAACAGAACAGAACAAAAAAATTATGAATTATTATGCTAACTAGAGAATTAATATGAACAAATTTTAACCCAAAATTAATCAGGCCTGTCTATTGTCCTAGAGCATTTATGTAACAAATTTTATTCAAATGTGATGATCAGTAATTGAGATATCAGTGTTAATTAATTATGTTAATTAGGTGATTAATAAGCATAAATATTTACCAAAAACTAATTGGGTCTCTGCATAGTTCTCTTTAAAAGTTTCATTAAAATCTTAAGTACCAAGTGTCATTGAAATGAGAAATATCAAAAGCTGAAATTTAATTAATTATGCAAATTAGGTAATTAATATGTACTCATTTTACCCTAAAAACTATCAGGTCTGTGCAGTGTCCTATGACATCTATGTACCAAGTTTCATTGAAATGTGATGATTACTACTTGAAATATCAGAAGCTGAAAATTAATTAATTATGCAAATTAGGTAATTAATATGTACTGATATTACCCTAAAAAACTATCAGGTCTGTGCAGTGTCATATGACATCTATGTACCAAGTTTCATTGAAATGTGATGATTACTACTTAAAATATCAAAAGCTGAAATTTAATTAATTATGCAAATTAGGTAATTAATATCTACTGATATTACCCTAAAAACTATCAGGTCTGTGCAGTGTCCTATGATATCTATAGTATGTAACCAAGCTTTATTGAAATGTGATGATTAGTACTTGAGATATCAGTGGAAAAGCAGAAAATTGATTAATCATTATGCAAATTAGGTAATTAATATTGCAGATTTTTACCAAAACTAATCAAATCTGCGCATTAGATTGGAGCACCTATGTGCCAAGTTTCATCAAATTCCAATGAGTGGTTCTTTAGATATCAGTGGAACAGTCATGGAACAGATAAAAATCAGCTAATTATCATGCAAATTAGGTAATTAATATGCATCAATGTATGGTTCTTGAGATATCCGTGGAACAGACACACACAGACAGACAGACACACAGACACCACACACTAACTGCAAAGACTCCCTTTTTGTGCTTTGCACACGGGAGTCAACAATATACACACACACATACATACATATCTGTGTTTGCACTATTTGAGGGACATTTCCAATAGAAGCACATATAAACCAAAAATCACATTCACTGTTCAGCAAATCATTAAAATATTACTTGGAAATACCACTAATGTACCCTAAGTGCATACACTATTAATAAATCAAATACAATATCAATAGTTGTTTCTTGCACTAAATGATTAGATACAGATATATATACACTAATAGTTGCACTCCTAATCAAGCAATAGATATTAAATACTTTTTTTTGTGAACACACTATTTTAAGGGCTCAATAAAGATTCTAGAAAACTTAATACAATAACTGGAATTGTCTCAAAGCTTACAGAATTTGTCGTCATGTGGCAATTGTTTTCTAAGTTTGTAAGGAAGTCTTGGTAAATTGTATACTCAACAGTCCCAATCACAATACGTTTTATATGAATGTGGTAATAAAATAACTACACATACATAATCATTGAATACCAAGTGTTAATCTTAAAGCAATAGTATAGTCTGTCGATGTCGTACATAATACGTACAAAGAAGTATTGAGCCAAAACAATGGTGACCAGTCTTGATACACTTATGACCTGATGATTATTGCATTTTAATGTATTTATTTATTTTTATAAATAAACAATTTTATTATAGTTTATATACCAGTATATGCAAGACATTGCAAACATACACCATACTTCATTTGCATATGTAGTATACAAAATACTTTAGTACGTGCTATATTTATAACATTTTATTGTTCGTTTCATGATATTCTGCAAGCATCTACCTCAAATTGTTCATGATATTCAGAAAGAATGGTCATCAAAGAATTACAAGCACAGGAAATGGAATATTAGACACAATAAACTAATATCTTTATTAGAAACACATTTTCAATACAAGTGCATATAAATATAATTTGTTGCATTTAGAATCATTAAAATATTATTTTTTTTTAAATATTAATTTTTAACCATATAAACACCTCCATAATTTACATAAGCACATTTTACTATTCAACATAATTTTGAGGCTTAAGGGACACATTCCAGCTTGCAAAATTAACTATGATTTGACGAAATGCAAATTTTTCAATAGACTAATGGATTACATGCACAGCCTGGCAGAGTATTTAAACCTCACAATTCACATCACATTCTGCAGACATACATAAAGGATTGCGGTAAAACTGTGTTCCAGAATACTGTAAAACCATTCATTTTACAGTTTTTAGATTAAAATACCATAATCCATTGTTCGAGATTGTGCCAAGTACAAGTGCTAACCAGACATACAATCTGGTTAGTATATTCCATGTGTAGGACTGTGTCAAATGCGACTCAAGGCAGACACATTTTCTGTTACGCTTCAACACAATGCCCCCCCCCCCAAGAGACTGAAATAGCGTGTAGTGAACACACACTTACAATCACTGATATGTACCTGTTCAGACCGATCAATGTGAATGTGAATCTATCATTCAAGGATGAATTATATCAAAAATGGTATTTAACATTTCCTATTGTTACTACCGGCTACCATATACAACCAGAAAATTGTCAGTAAATACCAGCACTGAATTTATAATTCAATACACGTTTTTCCTTTGATTACACATACATAATATTTATATAAGTATAACAGATTTAGGCATTACAAACATAATCATGATGTTTGGATAGAAAATGTTGATACATTTACTATTATTTAGATAAATAAAATTAAAAGGTAATCTGTTTCTACAAAAAGAACTCTCCCTATTATTGTGGAAAATATGATTTGTTATCTTTCAATTAGAAAAAAACATTAAGCTAAATATATATGACCCAATAAAAGTCACATGTCCTGGTATGTTAATTTCTAATATTATACCACAATTTTGAAATGATCATTCAGAAAAACCGAGAAATTATCATAGACAGTGAATCTGCCACCTAGAAAGTAAAGGAATGTGCGACCTTATGAGGTCACCCCCTTCAAATTGTCAAATAATATACAACTAACTTACTTGGATGTAATGTTGGAACGTGTTGTGCCATTCTGTCATCTTTTAACATATGTAATAACGTTGTTTTACCAGCGTTGTCTAATCCTAAGAAGACTAATTTTCCAGATTTTTTATATAAACCTAGGATAGAAATGCATTTTGTTGTTATATTAACAGTAATATATTGATCATTTGACAATAGAGATGTGGCTACCAAGTCTAAAAACCTAGTTACCCAAATAAATTCTACTGACCAACAAAATATGTACCAACAAGCCCTTAAAGTTGAGCACTGCATTTAATGTTGCAATATTTAACATGTTTAGAGGTCACAATACTATTTGAAAAACCATTAAAAAATTACGTTTTGTAGATGTAACTCATTATAGGTATAAACTTCAAATGATCAAGTCAAAATTGAATCACATCAAATTTTATATTCAGTGTCAGCCAATATAAACGCTTTTACTGTCTAGGCAATACAAACCAATGGTGAACTTGTAGTTCTGTACGAGACATAAAACCAAGCTACATGTACAAGGTCTTGTCATTTATGCCAAATACTTGTAGTGTTTCAGTGGTGGCAAGCTTGTGCATGTATTGCACTAAGTTGAATTAAACAATTGAAAACTTACCTAAAAAACTCAGCATTCCCGCAAACCAATCCCAAAGAAACATTTTTGTTTTTAAAAAAAAGTTACTACCTATAATCTGAAATGAAAATGATAGAAAAAGACAGGAATTAGTGACAACAGTCAGGAATGTCAGAAGAAGGGATTCCTTGTGTGACTCTTTATTTTGGGCTACGGTGGTGCTTTAATTTTGAGTTGTGCATGCCCTACCAAAATATGCAGGGGTCACAGATAAAATACACAGATGCAATTTATGTAGCTCAATCAAATAAGCCTGGTCATCTTTATTTTTCATCAAATAACCATTACAAGTGACATACTCATAACCATAGCAACTGACTCAAGAAAGGTAGCCATGTTGCAAAGTGAATGATTTCTCTATTGCGCATTGTGATAGTGCCCTACACACCAGCTGTGCCTTGATATGCTGCATGGCTTACATAGGCGATACAAGTACAATAAATTAAGTGTTGTCTGAAATCCTGGTCTCAAGCTATCCTACTACTCTCAGGAATGAGAATCTTAGTCAAAATCTCAGGGAAAGTAGTGCCTCTTGGTTGGCTGCCTACTTTAGTCATATATACTACACATGTCAAGTTTTACTTACTACTTTGGCAATAGTCAAAACATTTGGACACATCACACCTTTCCTTTCCTTTCCTCTCTTCTCTCCCCTCCCCTTACTTCCACTCATAATCTGATTCAGTTGTAAATGGAATGTCCATTGACCTCATTTTACATCTCCTTCAATGCTTTTCAAGTTACGCTGATGGACACTAGTAATACAGCCTATGTGTACACACTCAAGACAAACCCTACCCATCCCCTACCTTCTCTTGTTCTCAAAACTAGTCATGCTGATGGACACAAGTAATACAGCACATGCACACACTCAACATCCCTCAAAGCTAGTCAAGTTATGGACATCAGTATTGCAGCACAAACTCAAGCCCCCACCTCTATATCACCCTTGATTCATTTCATGCATCCTGCATGCACAGTCCTATTACATTCCCTAATGAAATTAACGGGATAGAGGGACTGTGATAGCAGTATGTACGTAATCACTATCAACTGCTAAAAGGGAATGTATGAATGAATGAATGTACATTCAGAGTGTCAAAAGACAGCTAGCACAGCAACAAACCTATTTTTATTATGGCTTGACCTTCAACAAAACCATCTTACTGATTAATAAAATTGACAATAAATCAAATGACCTCAATAAAAGAATTGATTTAAGATTGTTGTTCTCACGTGCACTCTACAAGGTACACAACACTGAACTTTGCGACCCTTTTGTCAGTTGATAAACATGTTGCGACATTTTAAGAAGAAGCCATGACCAGCTGAAACTAGAATATAGCAACCAACTAAATCACTCCCCCCCCACTTTTTTCATTATGTCAAGGTGACCTCAAAATTATTCACCAAGGCAACCACAGATTTTACCACAAGTTATTACCAGAGTTTAAATTTCACAGATTCTTTATTTAAAAATTGGAAATATAATTGTATATGGAACATACTACACGCGACATGTAAAAGATACATTCTGGAGTAAACAATATTTTTGTCATAAATCTCAGGATGTTCGAGGTAAACAGGAAAAGTGAAAATGAAGATGATATGATAAACACAAATTTAGTTGATAAATAATCTGAAAAAAAATTTGCTGACATATAGCTGTGGAGGCCAAGTTTAAGATTCCAATTAACATGTGGAACATCTCATGCTGGATACACTGATACAACATGAATAGCCTTTACAAAATAAAGGGTTTATTATCACTTCTTTGGTTAAAATTATGAATTTTATGTTTATTTTATGTTTGCCATTGTTTAAAATAGAATTTTATAAATTTTGGGTGTGAGCAGCAGGAACCATGACAATAATTAAAACAACAACAACACAGTTGATATACGATACATTCTTTAACACATAAAAAATTATACAAACAGAGTTTCCTTTAAATGCGTGATATTATCGTAAATGACCTTGTGTCGATCATATGTAAGGAATATAGCAGATAATATTTTTGAGCTAACAGATGGCAATAAATTAAATCATTGTCATCATAAAAAACAGCACATTGGCATCACATTGAAGAAACCTTGACAATTACGACGTGTTTTCACAAAAAGGAAAATTCCGGAAATGTTACTTCTCATTGGTTTTACGCAGGCTGGACTACAATCATTGATTGATCGAACAGACGTTCCGTGGGGCTAATTCAACCGACAAAAATATTTTTGTTCACAATAACTGTACTACACAACGATCAAGGAAAATAACCATTACCGTATACAACAACCAAATCAATAGCACATAGTTGGAACGATTTTCCTAATAACATTATACCAAAATACTGACAACCAGACATATTCTTCATTCTAATATTTCTGTGGGTTTTCGCGAATATACCAAAGTTACTCTCGGAAAAATCTGAGGGCTTAAAAACAAACAGAAATAAGGTCCTTACTCACCTGTATTTTTTGTTCTACTTTCTTGAACAAATGCCACCTAGTTTCGGTATATTTTAGCGACTTCGTAATAAAAGCTTTTCCAGTGTGTGATCACACACGACACAGTACAGGTGATCAACCTTTATACAACATGGCTTCCAAATCTGACGTCATGCAAAATGCCGGTATTTGAATAACGGGCCGTTTGATTGGTCACCTGAAAAGACCATTGATACTGATAGTTGATATCATATTTTGTGCTTTTAAAATTATATTTTATATTTACTGTGATATTTCTCTTGTCTAAAAAATGTCTAACTTACAAACTGAGCATCTGAATTCCATATTTGTATAGGGACAACCATAAATTGTCTTACCTCAAGAGTATGCAACCAATCAAAGCGCAGATTACATGCATGCGTAGGCAGTCGCGGAATTTCAATTCTGTTTAGAGGGGTTCCTACGACGTACAATGATTCTACCCCTATAACGGAAACAGAAATGCATGACGGGTGTGCCACGTTAAAACATGAACACAATATCGTCGTATGATGGCGTCATATCTTGAAATAAATGAATTATTCAAAATATTTACTTGCCATGTAATCATTATTTTTATTTTATTTTTTTATTAGACGCATAAAATCCTTAGGAAAGGATAAAAAGGGTCTTACAGAAAAAAATTAAAAAACTACAATCTAAAAAGGAAAACCAAAAATAAAAACTTTTCTAAAAATATAAAACAAATCAAAAACAATAAAGACAATTTGCAGCCAATGGTGAATACAGAATATAGAATGAACACAAATGAATGAATGTAGCCTAATACACTGATAGTCGTTGCTGTTTTGTTCCATAGTTGTTTTTTAAGAAGACAGCTAAGGCTGGTGCTAGAGTATGGTTTCCCATAATCCAAATGAATTTATTCTGACTATTTTCTTTATCAAAATTTGGAACTTTATTATTTTGTGCAGTCAGCAATAATTTGTCCCTATGATGACTGTAAGCTGGACATTTCATTACAAAATGTTGCTCATCCTCAATTATATTTTGGCTGCACATATCACATGTTCTTTTATCCAGTGGTACATTATTATGTCTGATTTTCTCAATTTTAAGGTCTTGGTTGCTTGTCTTGAATTTTGCAATTAACCTTCTAAGACCATGGTTCTGCATATTAATTAGGTAATTTTCAATTTTTAAATCTTGTTTGAAAAGTCTGTATGTTCTTAGTTTGTTTTTAGCCAAGGTTTGTTTTCTATTATCATTATGCATGTCTAAGATCCATTGGTTCTCAAATGATTTGTTTATTTTTTTATGAATAAAGTCTAAATTTTTCTTATTTATTATTTCACTTGAGTTTATAATGGTTACAACATCAATATCTTGCATGAGGGTTTCTACACTTGTAAACCATTTACTTTTTACATTCTTATTTACTAAGTAGGCTTCTCTTAATAATGTGTTATCAGAGTTTGTTACCCGGATGAAATACTTAAGTGGTTGTTTTTTTTTTTGATAAAACAGTCAATGGGGTACCTTCCTAGCTCACCATAAACAACCATTTTTGGTGTGAATTTGGAGAGACCAAGAATGAACTAACAAAATGAAACTGTCATGTCAACAGCGTCAAATGTGAACACTTTTATTCTGACACGTATGAAACTAAATGTTTGGACAGTGTGAAAACCCGATATAATATTCAGGGACTGTCCATGTTAAAACTTCCATTATGATTAACCCTATCGCAATTCAAAATTGTAGAGGGCAAATATTTAAGAGAACCACTACAATAGGTTTACATACGCTTCTTAAGCAGGTGGCATTAAATAGCAAATCACTTAATACTGTTTTTATTCACATTTACTTTACTTTACTTTATTGCCTTTATGCTGAAATTCAAGTACAGCTGCTTCTTGCCGTCTTGGACGTTCAAGGTATAATGTTCTAGCTTACTTACTGACTTCACAGAACGCTGAACGGATCTTTCTATCCTCGGGGGCGGACATCCGGGCATTTTCTACCGCCTGGCAACCCTCGCGGTGAAAACAAAAAACAAAAACTTGCAGAAAACGGTACTTTGCGATAGTTGTTGAGAGTCCCCTGAACAGTGTGACAAGATTAGCCCTATGTATGTAACATATATGAATTTGGTTGTTCAGAATTACTTCAAAGTTGAGTTTGTGTTGTTTTCTCGGGTTTTCACCGGCTCCACCGGCGTTCCACAGCAGCGCACACAAAGCCCGTAGAAATACGTGGTACAGTGGTGCGCGTCTTAGCAACGTAGAACATCCGTGACGTCACGGTAGCTCCGCCCCCGAGGATACACAGTCATTTAGAAGCCGAAATTCCGAATAAAGAGTACTAATTATTATTTTTCCCGGATTTTTAATGATACTTCAAAAAAAATAATAATAATAAAATAAACAAAAAAAACTCTGTTCTGGGGATTGTGTAGAAAATTATGGCTGCATTATGGATAAGACGACCGAATGACTGCCGGGTATGACTGTTGTTGTATTTGGTGCATATGCGACGCGCATAATTAAAACTTGTCTGCGTTTTCAGTACTTTCAGTGACTGTGGATTTATGGTATAAATAACAGCTTCAACATTTCTTTAAAACGTGAAAAGTAATATTTCTTCGTAGGGCATACATACTAACCCTTTCGTAAACGTAATTTATATTAAACTGGTATATTCAAACGTTTAGGCACAGTTCGGTGTTGATGGACTGTGGTTTAGGCAAGCACTGATCGTGCGTGCTTGGCACTGCGGTGTCGCAATAACTCTATGCACAATGCATTTGTGATACGCTTAAAATTATTGACATGACCATTAATTCAGACACGTTTCCGTTGTTCATCGCACAAATATTATTTCACATGTGGGTAAAATTGAGGACAAATCGGAATCACAGGTAAAATACATGCAAGACTTATGTAGCAAAACCTAAGGTTTGATTCGTAATAGTAGTTTATGAATAAATAAACGCTGCTCGGACTGATAAATATGATATATAGAAGATAATATTTGGTAATCGTAGTCCTAAATAACTATTAAAAATAGCTAGACGTTTCGAGCAATGGCTCTTTATCGATAGCATAGAAGAAAGTCTAAGGTTTGATTCAACTTTTTGAGCGCCATATTTTTTTTCTCTGTTCAAAAAGTTGCGTGCAACGAATATTTAACATTAATATTTCATTGGCTGCAGATCCTGGAAATAAAATGAAAAAAGTAGATTCATATTGTGAACGGTGATAAAGGATAACACTCTGATGACAAACCATATTGTTACGTACTGTTAAAATCAGTATGATGTCATGATAAAGTTCAACTAGGTGACAGCTTTCAAAATCGCTCACCTGGCAGCGCAGACATACGTTGGTTGACGGGCGGCTGTCCACCCAGCTGAAAATCCTTGGGAGAACATTGATTACATAAAATAAGTGAAATGACATGACATAATTTTTCATAAAAAAGGTCACCAATTAGCCCAAATACACACTTCATAATGACAGCGTTGTACAAAAACTACTTCTGTTTGAATACCGGAAACTGAAATAAGATAAAAAAGATACTAGACTATAAACAATATTAATAGATTCCCCACAAAATAAATGTTTTATGTATATTTTTCTACACAGAATTGGCATGTTGAGAGCTCTCAGGTAATGTTAAAGCGGGAGGGTCGTCATCGCGCATGCGCGGGAATTGAATCCCAAGCGAGGATAACAACACACCTATGGCCATCTGACGCATGCGCAAGTGACGACCCCCCTCCCCC